AGGTGAATACACTCCCTATCACCAGGTAAGGTGAATACTCTCCCTATCACCAGGTAAGGTGAATACTCTCCCTATCACCAGGTAAGGTGTGTACACTCCCTATCCCCAGGTAAGATAAGTACACTCCCTATCACCAGGTAAGATAAGAACACTCCTTATCACCAGGTAAGGTGAGTACACTCCCAATCACCAGGTAAGGTGAGTACACTCCCTATCACCAGTTAAGATAAGTACACACCCTATCACCAGGTAAGGTGAGTACACTCCCTATCACCAGGTAAAATGAGTACACTCCCTACTTCTAGCTATATGTATCACCAGGTAAGGTGTGTACACTCCCTACTTCTAGCTAGTATAGGTATCACCAGGTAAGGTGAAAACACTTCTACCTTGTAGATATAGGTATCATCAGGTAAGATGAGTACACTCCCTACTACTAGCTATAGGTATCACCAGGTAAGACGAGTACACCCCCTATCACCAGGTAAGGTGAATACACTCCATATCACCAGGTAAGGCGAGTACACTCCCTATCACCAGGTAAGATAAGAACACTCCCTATCACCAGGTAAGGTGAGTACACTCCCTATCACCAGGTAAGATGAGTACCCTCCCTACTACTGGCTATAGCTTCGGGACAGATGAGATAACAAACTTAGCTATGAAGTGAAATTTTCTCCAAATTGATTTTTATACTTTCATTAAGATTCTTCAGCTTGGAAATATGTAATATAGATTTTTACTTCTTACACTTACAATGTATGTATTAAACGCATCGCAACGTTTCAAGTCTGACTGGTCCCTTCAAGCTATCAAGAAAATTTTACAAAGGGACCAGTTGGTATTGAAACGTTGCAACGCATTTTATACGTATATTGTTTATGTATAAAGTAAACCTTTGGTATTGATTTTTATACCAAGTTTATTTCATTGAAATGATCAGATTTTCATAACATCACCTTCATATTGTTACAATGCTATTATGTGATATTTTTTTTAATAATTCTGCTGATAAATTGCAAAATTACCAAAGGACTGAACCACACTAAATGTAGTTCAGCTCATAAATAGAATCATTCCCTACCTTGAGGGCGTCACAGAGAAATCTCCTACCCAAGGGATGATATTCTCGATTGTCTAAGCCTCGGGTAAAACATTCGAGAATATCATCCTGAGCAACCAAGAGCAGGTTTGGCGGTTTCTGACATTACTGAACAAAACCAGTACTTACACAAAACTTTTTTCCTTGAAGGCTTCAATTTCCTTTGTGACCTGCAGATAAGAGGAGGATTAAACTGGAAATTTATGTTGACTAATAGCAATTTTTGGCAATTATTTATTTTTCAAAATGTAGGTGAAGTCGAAAATGTCCAATTCAATCAGATGCAAGGGTGTCCATCTTGGATTTTCCGATTGAAATGAAATGTAACAACACTTGTCTGAGACCTCGTAAGGATCAATTGTACCAAATAAGGAGTCAATTGGTGCAGCTGTTCTTGAAATGAAATAAACAATGTCCCAGACAATCAGAGACCAGAGCAGCCATCTTGGATTTCAAATCGGCACAAAATATAACAATACTTATGCGGGACCTCGTAGGGATCAATTGTAATAAGAAAGGAGCCTATCGGTGAAGCTGTTCTTAAGAAGAAGTAATAAATGTCTCAGTCAATCAGATGGCAAGGCAGCCATCTGGTTTTTGGATTGGCATGAAATGTAACAACACTTATTTGAGACCTAATAAGGATCAATTGTACCAAGTAAGGGGTCAATTGGTGCAGTCATTTTTGAGATGAAGACGAAAATGTCCCAGCCAATCAGATGCCAGTGTGGCCATCTTGGATTTTTGGATCGGCACGAAATGTAACAACACTTGTTTTGGACCTTGTAAGGATCAATTATATTAACTCTTTACGTACTCCAAATCCGGTTCTGATTCCATACCGGATGTCCTTACTAGACTTGCCCCCGCGCAAAAAACAAAATGGCGGATTATTAATGTCTTTTTAGACAAGCTGTAATTGCTGTAAGAATTAAACAGGTAACCGTGAACATATATTGTTATTGTTTCATGTTGTTGTTTATGGACACACATTTCTTCATTTTCGCAGCATAACAACTAACTGGCAGCTAATTATGACAGAGAAATCGACATCTGTTCGGCAACAAACTATACGAAACCTTTTTTCAAAACAGCGTTGTAGTGGAGGTTCCTAAAACGGATTAATTATTGTTTACGAATACGAAGTCGTTATTTTTTTTCTTTTGATAACGAGTAGATTTCATTTAGACTTATATTAAAATATTCACATTTACTTCCATAAGTCTAAAAAAATATTTGGTGATGAATTTACGAGAGTTCATATCGAATTAAGTTGCCGCCATATTGTTTATTTTGAATCACCAAACACACACATCTTGTGAAAGATTCGAAAACAATAGGTCACAAAATATAAATTGTGTACTCTGTACCTATAAAACTATTTCTTTCCAATTGATGGGTGCTGATTTTAGCGACAAATAATTGTATTACGCGATTGTCGTGTGCGATAACCAGCTAAACATAAGACAAGTTACAACAAAGACTGTTGTCGTGTGTACACGACAACGGGTGAGACGGCCTATTATTTTGTCGTCTGTACACGACAACGGGGACCAGGATGACATATTGTTGTCATGTGTATACGACAATGGTACGGAAAGAGTTAAGAAGTTGTTTAAAGTAAAAAGTTGAAGCCGGACCGACGACAGACGGACGCCACACCATGTTATAAGCTCACTTGGCCCTTCAGGCCAGCTCATAATAATTATAACAACAGGCCTAATGGGCTTGCATCGCTCACCTGGTATTAATCTCACACTTGTAACCTAAAAGGTGATCTTATATAAAGCTACAGACAAAATATCAGTATTAATGACTATGGCATTAGGTCATTTACATGTCTGACCAAATGTGACCTTGAAAGTGGGTCAAGGTCATTCAAATGACTGGATATTTTAACATATTTGACACCTGTGACCTTGAAAATGGATGACGGTCATTCATTTGAAGAAACTAGGTAGGCTTTCATCCAAGCATGCTACTGGCCAAATATCATCATCCTAGGCCTTTTGGTTATTCAGGCGAAGTTGTTTTATAGGTTTTCAACATATTTGATCCCTGTGACCTTGAAAATAAGTCAAGGTCATTCATTTGAACAAACTTGGTAGCCCTTCATTCCAGCATGCTACTGGCCAAATATCATCATCCTAAGCCTTTTGTTTATTCAGAAGAAGTTGTTTAAAGTTGTTTTTTTACATATTTGACCCCTGTGACCTTGAATATAGGTGAAGGTAATTTATTTTAACAAACCTGGTAGCCCTTCATCACAGTTTGCTTCTGGCCAAATATCATCACCCTAGGCCTTTTTTTCAGTGAGAAGAAGTTGTTTAAAGTAAAATATTGACGCTGGACGCCATATTTGCAATGCAATGCGGAGGTAAATGTTGTTATGAGACTATAACAAAACTTGCAATTGTAACTTCATCAATCTCTATTGTGACTTCATCAATTTCATTGTTGTCAACACTTGATATACTGGTCAAAAACTAAATAAAGCATAGCTACTCTATCTAAATGTAAATATAACATATTGGTTGCGTAACACACATTTCTATTGCTGATAAACTTTCATAAAGCCCCTCCAGGCTTTATTAGATTGTCATCGATAGCAATGTGTGTTAAAGGACCATAACAACATTTGCTTAAACATTCATTGCTTAAATACATGGTTCATTGCATTTAGTTTCAAGTGATTGGGTCCATTGCCAGTGACCAGGAAGCTTACCAGGTTCATTGCATTTAGTTTCAAGTGATTGGGTCCATTGCCAGTGACCAGGAAGCTTACCAGGTAATTGGCAGAACATTCGTCTAGAATTGGGAAAGTCCAAGGTTGAAATCTCAAGCTTGCTGTCTCCTGTTACAGTGGTTTCTGTGATTCAACCTTGTGTCAGACACCCATGAAGACACAACTGAACTCTTCCAATTCAAAGGTTGGAAAAAGTTCATTATGAAATTTCAGGGGTGAAAAAGTTAAGCTAAAATGCTTATAGATCTCAAACCACAAGCTAAAAGGTACTTTGTGAGAGGGGTGGTAACATGAAATATTCACTTTAAGCGTAATGCATAATATCCAATTTAAATATGGTCCAATACCTACCAACTGTACAGCTTTCTCCAGATTTGCCTCATCATGAACATTCACCTCAACGTAATCAGGACCAGATGATACCGTTAGAGAAAAACCAGCCTGAAAAAAGCAATATAATCTACTGGTTTCTTTTCAAATTTTAAAACATAACTGTCCTGAAATTACAACAGAACATTAAACCCTTTCACCACTGTAGATCATAATGGATTCATCCCCATAAATGCATGGTAGAGTCTACTACAGTTATGTAGGAGTGAAAGGGTAAAACAAGAGATCAAGAACACATCAAATTTTTCCCAATTCTGGGAACCTACAGTACTCTCCATTGTATCACTTGCCAATTTATAATTTTAAACGATAGTTTTGAAGTATATCTATTCTGTTCCTGCAGTCTTAATACAGCATTATTTTGTTTTACCGAGGGCCAACCAAGACTGTTGTAACTGTACCCAGCCCAGACTGTTGTTACTGTCCCCAGCCCAGACTGTTGTTACTACCCAAGCTCAGACTATTGTTACTGTCCCCAGCCCAGACTGTTGTTACCGTCCCCAGCCCAGACTGTTGTTACTACCCAAGCTCAGACTGTTGTTACTGTCCCGAACCCATACTGCTGTTAATCTCCTAAGCCAGGACTCTTGTTACTGTCCCCAGCTCGGACTGTTGTTACTGTCCCAAGCCCAGTCTGTCGTTACCATCCCCAGGACCAAACTGTTGTTACTGTCCCCAGGACCAAACTGTTGTTACCATCCCCTGGACCAAACTGTTGTTACCGTCCCCAACCCCGGCCTGTTGTTACTATCCACAGCCGTGTCTGTTGTTACCATTCCCAGGACCAAATTGTTGTTACTGTCCCTAGCCCAGACTGTTGTTACTGTCCCAAGCCCAGTCTGTTGTTACCATCCCCAGGACCAAACTGTTGTTACTGTCCCCAGGACCAACTGTTGTTACCATCCCCAGGACCAAACTGTTGTTACTGTCCCCAACCCCGGCCTGTTGTTACTGTCCACAGCCGTGTCTGTTGTTACCATTCCCAGGACCAAATTGTTGTTACTGTCCCTAGCCCAGACTGTTGTTACTGTCCCAAGCCCAGTCTGTTGTTNTGCGTAACACACATTTCTATTGCTGATAAACTTTCATAAAGCCCCTCCAGGCTTTATTAGATTGTCATCGATAGCAATGTGTGTTAAAGGACCATAACAACATTTGCTTAAACATTCATTGCTTAAATACATGGTTCATTGCATTTAGTTTCAAGTGATTGGGTCCATTGCCAGTGACCAGGAAGCTTACCAGGTAATTGGCAGAACATTCGTCTAGAATTGGGAAAGTCCAAGGTTGAAATCTCAAGCTTGCTGTCTCCTGTTACAGTGGTTTCTGTGATTCAACCTTGTGTCAGACACCCATGAAGACACAACTGAACTCTTCCAATTCAAAGGTTGGAAAAAGTTCATTATGAAATTTCAGGGGTGAAAAAGTTAAGCTAAAATGCTTATAGATCTCAAACCACAAGCTAAAAGGTACTTTGTGAGAGGGGTGGTAACATGAAATATTCACTTTAAGCGTAATGCATAATATCCAATTTAAATATGGTCCAATACCTACCAACTGTACAGCTTTCTCCAGATTTGCCTCATCATGAACATTCACCTCAACGTAATCAGGACCAGATGATACCGTTAGAGAAAAACCAGCCTGAAAAAAGCAATATAATCTACTGGTTTCTTTTCAAATTTTAAAACATAACTGTCCTGAAATTACAACAGAACATTAAACCCTTTCACCACTGTAGATCATAATGGATTCATCCCCATAAATGCATGGTAGAGTCTACTACAGTTATGTAGGAGTGAAAGGGTAAAACAAGAGATCAAGAACACATCAAATTTTTCCCAATTCTGGGAACCTACAGTACTCTCCATTGTATCACTTGCCAATTTATAATTTTAAACGATAGTTTTGAAGTATATCTATTCTGTTCCTGCAGTCTTAATACAGCATTATTTTGTTTTACCGAGGGCCAACCAAGACTGTTGTAACTGTACCCAGCCCAGACTGTTGTTACTGTCCCCAGCCCAGACTGTTGTTACTACCCAAGCTCAGACTATTGTTACTGTCCCCAGCCCAGACTGTTGTTACCGTCCCCAGCCCAGACTGTTGTTACTACCCAAGCTCAGACTGTTGTTACTGTCCCGAACCCATACTGCTGTTAATCTCCTAAGCCAGGACTCTTGTTACTGTCCCCAGCTCGGACTGTTGTTACTGTCCCAAGCCCAGTCTGTCGTTACCATCCCCAGGACCAAACTGTTGTTACTGTCCCCAGGACCAAACTGTTGTTACCATCCCCTGGACCAAACTGTTGTTACCGTCCCCAACCCCGGCCTGTTGTTACTATCCACAGCCGTGTCTGTTGTTACCATTCCCAGGACCAAATTGTTGTTACTGTCCCTAGCCCAGACTGTTGTTACTGTCCCAAGCCCAGTCTGTTGTTACCATCCCCAGGACCAAACTGTTGTTACTGTCCCCAGGACCAACTGTTGTTACCATCCCCAGGACCAAACTGTTGTTACTGTCCCCAACCCCGGCCTGTTGTTACTGTCCACAGCCGTGTCTGTTGTTACCATTCCCAGGACCAAATTGTTGTTACTGTCCCTAGCCCAGACTGTTGTTACTGTCCCAAGCCCAGTCTGTTGTTACCATCCCCAGGACCAAACTGTTGTTACTGTCCCCAACCCCGGCCTGTTGTTACCATTCCCAGGACCAGACTGTTGTTACTGTCCACAGCCGTGTCTGTTGTTACCATTCCCAGGACCAGACTGTTGTTATTGTCCCCAGCCCAGTCTGTTGTTACCATCCCCAGGACCAAATTGTTGTTACTGTCCCTAGCCCAGACTGTTGTTACCGTCCCCAGCCGTGTCTGTTGCTTCCATTCCCAGGACCAGACTGTTGTTACTGTCCCCAGACAAGGCTCTTGTTACTCTTCCCAGCCCAGACTGTTGTTACTGTCCACAGCCCAGTCTGTTGTTACCATCCCCAGGATTTGGGAAATTCAATTTTTTTACCAGTATAACGATGTGACGTGTGTCTATACTCCTTATCGATATGCGATATATGTCCCGTTTCAAGCGACATAAAAAATATACAATTTTGTCACATCGTTGTACAGGTAAAATATACAAATTGCTCAGTCAATCATAGCTTGACAAAGGGATCAGTCGGTCTTAAACATACCAACACGTTTAAATTGTTGTTACTGTCCCTAGCCCAGACTGTTGTAACTGTCCCGAGCCCAGTTTGTTGTTACTGTCCCCAGGACCAAACTGTTGTTACCATCCCCAGGACCAAACTGTTGTTACTGTCCCAAACCCAGACTGTTGTTACTGTCCCCAGCCCAGTCTATTGTTACAATCCCCAGGACCAAGTTGTTGTTACTGTCCCTAGCCCAGACTGTTGTTACTGTCCCCAGCCGTGTCTGTTGTTACCATCCCCAGGACCAGACTGTTGTTACTGTTCCCAGCCCAGTCTGTTGTTACCATCCCCGGGACCAAACTGTTGTTACTGTCCCCAGCCCAGTCTGTTGTTACCATCCCCAGGACCAGACTGTTGTTACTGTCCACAGCCAAAGATGTTGTTACTCTTCCCAGCCCAGACTGTTATTACTGTCCACAGATCTGTTTTTTTATGAATTCATTTTCCTCAAATCTTATTTATTCTGTTACCTCAGCTTTTATTTGAGATTCCTTGTCAGGGAAAACATTTGGGAAATTCAATTTTTTTACCAGTATAACGATGTGACGTGTGTCTATACTCCTTATCGATATGCGATATATGTCCTGTTTCAAGCGACATAAAAAATATACAATTTTGTCACATCGTTGTACAGGTAAAACATACAAATTGCTCAGTCAATCATAGCTTGACAAAGGGACCAGTCGGTCTAAAACATAGCAACACATTTAATACGTACCTTGTTTATGTAGAAAGTAAAACTTTGATATCATTTGAGGTACATTCAACTCTCTAGCGTCTTCGTTGACAGAAGGAACAACAATTGTTTAATTTGTTTGAACCCTTTCACCCCTATGTAACTTTAGTAAACTCTACCATGCATTGATCTGGATGAGTCCATTATGGTCCAGAGTGGTGAAAGGGTTAGGTTCTAAGGAAACACTTACCTGGTCTCCAAGGTGCCGTATGTTACGTCCTTTTGCACCAATAATATAACCAACAATTGCTTTTACATTCTCTTTTGGGACATCCACTTTTGCTGTAAAGAAGCTGTGTTTCTGCACTGCTGGTGTTGGAACACTGTGTCAAAGTAAAACTCTCACTGAATATAAATTAACTATCTTTCCTACTTTTACAAGACTTGGGATTTCAAATTCAAAAGTATTTTACTGACAATACATATATGATACATCCATGTAAGTTGTATATATATATAAAATCAGATGTTAGTACAGAACCAACAAAAGAATCAGACAACAGGCGTAGCGCCTTCCATATCAGTCTTGTTCTATTCCAGTAGAGATAACATACTATATAGATTGTTGTTTGTCTTCCATTTTCTTAACATTTTCTCCAGGTAGGTTAGTATGGATTATCACAAGGTAAGGTGGGCACATTCCCTATTTCTAGCTATAGGTATCACCAGGTAAAGTTAGAACACTCCTACCTTCTAGCGATTGGTATCACCAGGTAAGGTGAGTACACTCCCACCTTCTAGCTATAGGTATCACCAGGTAAGTTGAGTACACTCCGACCCTCTCACTATAGGTATCACCAGGTAAGCTGAGTACACTCCCACCTTCTAGCTATAGGTATCACCAGGTAAGCTGAGTACACTCCCTATTTCTAGCTTTTGGTATCACCAGGTAAGGTGAGGACACTCCCACCTTCTAACTATAGGTATCACCAGGTAAGGTGAGTACACTCCCACCCTCTAACTATAGGTATCACCAGGTAAGGTGAGTACACTCCCTACTTCTAGCTTTTGGTATCACCAGGTAAGGTGAGGACACTCCTACCCTCTAACTATAGGTATCACCAGGTAAGCTGAGTACACTCCCTATTTCTAGCTTTTGGTATCACCAGGTAAGGTGAGGACACTCCCACCTTCTAACTATAGGTATCACCAGGTAAGGTGAGTACACTCCCACCCTCTAACTATAGGTATCACCAGGTAAGGTGAGTACACTCCCTACTTCTAGCTTTTGGTATCACCAGGTAAGGTGAG